GGCACTCAGGGTGACTGAGGGGTAGTCACATGCAGAGAGATTGGGGGAAGTGAGGTGTGGTCCCGGCATATTACTTCTGGGGATAAACCTCTCCTGTCCCCACACCATGTCTGCCTGAGCCAAGGGAATCCTAAGGCATGGGGCATGGTACACACTTCTACCCGGACTTCAGGAGCTTTAGTGGGGCCCACAGGGATGAAAACATGGGGCTGGCCCTTTGGTTTAAGCCCAGGTGGCCAGGAGGTCTCTCAATGGCACCTGCCTAGAGCCCAGGACAGGAACCCCAGAGGTTTCTCTGGACCCCTTCCCCAGCAGGGTCACTCAGTGTTGGTCCTCACCCCAAGCCCTCCACATAGGATGGGGCCCCACCCCAAGAACCAGTGTGAGAAGAAAAGTTGTTTTAATATGTACCCCTAGTGCTTCTAGAAAATTCTATCCCATACACTATCACTATTAAATTTCGTTAAAGGTAAAGGCAGGCATACAGACACACGTGAGGGTGTCACAGGCAGGCACCCATGTCCCCCAGTAACCACAGAGCTTCTTAGTATCTCCTGCCTGACACCTGCAAGTGATGTCCAGCACAGAGCAGGGAAGCCAAGGGAGATGCCGGACACCTCTGCCCGCCCCCAGCACCCAGGCCGTGTGGGATATGTAGTCCCAGCCCAGAAGATGCTGGGCTTGCTTGGCTGGGGTAAAAACTGTGGGTGTCTCGTATGTCCTGAACTGAAGTGGTGCAGGTGAACGGCCCCTCCAGTCCCCACACCACCTTACCTCCCTTGGTCCAGGCGATGACAGGCTGAGGGTTGCCCTTTGCCTCACACTGGAAGTCAACCGTCTGACCCTCGATAACAACTCTGTCCTGGGGGGTCACAGTGAACTCAGGAAGCGCTTCCAGGGAAAAAAATTTGAAACAGGACATTTAAAAAGTAGCAACATAAAAATACCCACAGAAAATGACCAGCGCTGGGTCAAGACACAGAATGTGGGCATAACGTCCATGAAGAAGGGAAGACGGCAACACTGAGAGGAAGACCAGGAAGCAGAGGACCCAGGACAGGTGTGTCCGCAGCATGTAGAGTCCATCCTCCACCCCCTCTGGGTGCACAGGCTGTGGAAGCAAGGGCAACTAACACCGTTTCTCCTGTCCCTCAACCTAACCACCAGCAAATGGATGGTTTAAAACATCCTCTGGCACCATCCTGTACAGGGATGGAATCACTGCTGGGATGAGAAAAAAGTGTGAATAGTACAGTGGAGCGATTCCACCTCTACAAAAACAGAGACATGTGCGGGGGCCCACACAGAGGACTGAGAGCACGGTCAGGATGCGGGGAGCGGAAGCAGGGAGCGGATGTGGGAGCAGCTACAGGGCATCTGCACTGACTGTGTCCTGCCCTTCAGTACTTCCCAACACACACCCCAGTCCACAATTGGCTTAAAACCTAATAATTCCTTTTACATTCAGTTAAGCCATTTGGAAATACACATACAGGTGTACAGGGCAGAAGTTGCTAGACTATGGATACCCCCTGGGTCCTGTGTCCAAACAGTGACTTTAGGGGAGTATTCAGAGCTACCTTGCAGGAGTTCCGATTAATGTAGGAGGGCGGATGTGCCTTTGCCTTTCTGCTGCACATCTGCATTCATGCACACATATACTCATGTATGCACACATATACTCCCATGCACGCACACATATACTCTCATTCATGCGCACATATCATATACTCTCATGCACGCTCACATATACTCTCATGCACACACACTGGCACACGCTTTTATACATGCCAAGCTCACTCATGCCTTTAACAGTCATATGCACACACTCAATATACTCTTGCATGCCTCGTGCACTCACATGCACACTGCACACATTCAAATACACATACTCACTCATTCAACAGATACTGACATGGGCCACGTGCGGGAGGTGTGTGGTTGGTGCAGCTATAAGGCCATCTTACTGAGGTATCTGTTCCAAAGCCAGCTAGCTGCCAGCTATGAAAGGAAGTCCTCTGATAATCAGTGTTATGCATAGTTGCAAGGTTGAGTGGACAGGACAAAAGCTGCCGTGGAGCCTTCATGTACACGGCATGGGGCCTGGGACATGTGAGGTGGACGCAGGGAGGACAGATCAAAACTGAGAGTCTCCAGGCTGAGGACAGTGCTTACCCTGCACGATGATGAATGCGGTGGCGTGGACGCTCTCTACACTGTTGGATGCAAAGCATGTGTACTCCCCGCTGTCCTCCTGGACGACATTCTGAATGTAAAGGCCACCAGAGGGAGTGATATTCACTCGAGGGTCCGCTGGCAAAGGGGTCCGGTCCCCTCTCGTCCAGGAGATGCGAGGCAAGGGGTGGCCTGTGGCACTGCACTCCAGAGTGACGCTCTCCCCAACCAGCACCTCCGTGTTCTGTGGCTGGATTACAAAAGTGGGTCGAGCTGTCACAAACAAAAACTCTCGATTAATTTCTTCAGTTTGACACATTTCTTTGATTTTATCTATGTTCAGGACACTCATTGTATCCTCCAAAACAAGCAAAACAAACAGCATTTGACAGCATACTTTGTTTTTCTTAAAAACATGTGCATGCAATAAAAATGGTTCAAGGCCAGACATACTGCAGGTGGCCTGTGGGCAGTAACTGACCACAGTGATGAGCGAGAACCCATGTTTTTCTCTAAACATGTGCTGGACTCTGAGAATTCTTACTTCTGTTTATTCTAAATACATCATGACAATCCTATTAAGCTTTGCTAGTAGTTCTTAAGGGCAAAAAATAATTGTTTCTGAGGTATTTAGAACACAAAAAATATAATTTCACTTATAAAAAAAGAATAATTAAATTACAAATTAAAACTACACTGAGAAAATTTCTGACTCTAAATCTAGTGGGGAAACCCACACACTAACATGTTTCATGTGACTTTGTGGACACAGAACTCCTACATACATAGTATTAGCAGAGCCCACTAGCACAGATACAGCAAAACAAAGATCGATACACCCTTTTACCCCACAATCACCCTGCTGGGAATTACACCCACAGTTTTATGAGCAAGTACAATGACACGTGTATGAAGAAATTTGTTTGCCTTTGCCAATTTGTACCTTTGAGCCAACATGTTGTGCCCTTATCCAACATTCAAAAATTTCCCCAATTTTTTTTTGTTTGTTTTTTTGTGACTTACATGTTCACAGTATTTGCCCTATCTGGTCATCCTTTACTGCGAACATTCTCATCTGGAGGAGGATGTGGACACCTGACTCCAGGTCACCGTCCCAGCCCTGCCCACAGTGCACATTAGTCTATGGTCTATGGGTCCCCTCTCCTTTCAAAAGTTTCCTAAGTTTCTGGCTTTCAAATCACCCCTGGCCCAAAGGCTTCTGCATAAATGACATGGACCTGTGACAGCTAAAGATTTAGAAAAAAATTACAAAGTACTGCAAAGGGACATTGAAAAGCAGATAGTGGCACACGTCAGAAATGGGATTCTACAGAGCTGTACAAGTGGGAGGGTAAAAGAAAGCTCGTGTGTTCAAAGACTGAAAAGATTTCTAAGACATGGCAAGAAAAACACTTGGGGGCAGCATGAGAAGGATAGAGAAACTGCTGTGAGCATTTCCGTGGCTAAAGGAGAAAGTGGAAAGGACGTACACCCTTCTACATCTGTTAATGTTTAACCTGCATTGACCAAAAGTCTGAGCAAAAAAGGACATCCCCTTCTTGGTCCCCCACGACTCCCACAGCAGCCAGCTTATAGGGCATCAACACATGGATACCTTTTCCAGACCAAAAAGGCACCAGAAGAGGCTACCAGCCAAGAGCAGGGACCTACCCTCCTCTCCCCAACCGGCATTCGCTTGTTCTGAATCAGAGGAGGAAGAAAGTGACCCCCATGAGTCCCAGGACCCTGAGCTGTGAGTCAGAGTCGTGAACCATCTCACAGACCTCCCGTCCCCTCCAGGACAGCAGTATGATCTGATCTTATCTATAATTACCCCTCCGTCCTCTGAACTGGGGGGGACCTCCTCACATGTCTTTGGGAACTGCACTGATTTCTCAGGCAGGACTCGCCTCTGTGGTTAGGACTGCCTTCCTCCTCACCCTAACAACCCTGCAATCCCTTCCCACTTCTCTGCCGTTACATCTCAGTGTCTACTCAACCAGTCCTTGTCACTGTGATCTCACCAGTGCTGGATCTGCCTGTCCCTTCCCCTGACACTTACATGGGGGCTCAGGTCACATCTGGCATCCACTGTCCTCTTACCCTACCACAAAGAGAAGGGAGCCTCCTTCCCTGATAGAGCCCAGGTCCTACTTGGGAATTAGACCACCACTGTAGCCACAGGAGCAATTAAACTGCTCCAAACCTTTTCAGAGAACATCCACTCGCTCCCTTATACACCAACTCCCACCTCTGAGCCATACGGCCACTGTGAGATTTCTCACCCCATCACCCTTGGTATGAGCTGCACTGGCCCTGGGCCCGTCACCCCCAAACCTCAGTAACCACCAGCATCTTCCTCCCAACGCTGTTCAATCCCAGCAGGTCACTCTGTCACCTCCTGCTAATGGGTCGTTCTTACAACCCCTCCTTTTCCCAGGACCTCCCTAACTTCATAATTCTCCCCTCTTCTTGCCCTAGACCAAACTCTCAAAACCCCGCTCTCCTGGGTTCACACTCTCGGCTGCCCTCCACTGGCCAATGGACTGTCTCCCCACTTGCCAGCTCCTTGTCAGCCTGGAATAATGAACCAGGACAATATCCCAGAATCCACAATTTTCTCTACCTCTTTTCATTCTGCCTTAGCTGTCACCTGACACAGAAGGCCCGTTTTTTATTTATGGAAACAAAATACTTTCTCACCCACCCCCAACTGGACCAGCACCGACACTCTTGACTGTCTCCTGACAAACACAGACCCTCCTGATCAGTCCCTGCCCATCCTGTAAAAACACATCAAGCCCCAAAGAGGCCCCCATCTTCATCCCACTCCTCAGCGCCCTGGGAGCTGGACAGGACTTGGAGGCTGGAGTCCTCTCTACATTTTTCCCACACATTATCCAAAGACTTACCAGAATGCCTAGAGAAGAATCTGAAAGCCTAATAAAAATGCAAGACCAAATATCAGTCATGACCATCCAAAACAGATGTGGGTACCCATCACTGCAGGAAAATGTGGACCTGTTCCCCATCTCTGCATGTTAGCTGGACAGTGACAAGCAGCTGGACCCCCTTCATCCAGTAACATCCAGCGTGGTGGGGAGGGGCACTTCCTAACCACTTTCTCAGGGGCGTATGGCCCTCATCCACCGTCTTTCAGACAACAAGGAAGGTCACAAAACCACCATCTAAGTCAAAATTCCATGTGCCTGACTTTCTGGCCAGATCATCACTAACTAGTCTGACTCAGATTGGGGGAAGCCTGACATCTAGACGAGTCATCTGAACCGGGGACACCTGCTCAGATTTCTTCTGTTTCCACATATGATCGTCCCTAAAATGTCCTTGTTTCTTTCAGTTGCCCTCATGGGCAACATTTGGTAGGAACTTTGGGACTCATTGGCCCCCATCCCAAATGTTTAATGAAATGACAAAAAAATTTGGCTGGAGACTGACTGGATGTCCTAACCACAGTGCTACCTGGCTACTTAACCCTTTACTGCTGGCTGGTGAGGTTCTAACAGCCTCTGCTTTCCGGCCTTGACCTTCCAGGCTCTGGCCTTCACTCCACCTGACTCACCTACTTCCTCTCCGGATGCCTCATTTTCTAGATGCTTCCCTCTCAGGTCCCCTATTCCCTCTGTCTCCACCATGCTAACCTGCCTCACTCTCTCCTCATCCACATGCCAGCTCCCCTCTGTGAGATTTCAGGGGTCAAAATGCATCAATCACTCCAGCAAGGATCAAAATCCAGCCCTTTTTCCTGTCTAAAGCCTTTCTGACACTTTAGTTCATTAAGTATTAAATCACGGACAGACAAACCATCTTAGCAAATGCCCTTCATCTCCCAGTCAGCCCCAATATTTGGCATAAACCCTGAAACTTAAAAGGGCCTAAGCCCCACAAGCCCAGGGTTTAGACCTGGCCTTCACAGTCTTTGAATAACTGAGAGAGGACAGAGGAAATGGGACACCAACCCCAAGAGCAGAAAAGGCGTTTTTAATAGTGGCCGTCACTATAAAGCTTCTCCAGAGTGTGCAACAAAAGTTCAGGCAAGATGACCACGTGCTCCCATAGGACCC